CCCGTACCTGTTGCCTGCCTTTCTCGCCCCCCCCCGCCCACCCCCATATGTATCTCTCTCTGGTCAGATTAAAATAAAATGAATAAATAAATAAAATTAAATAATTTTTTAAAAAAAGTATCTTGCTCAAGTCAGCATATTAGCTACTGCTACAATACATAGTTGAACAAGCCTGGAAGACTTTAAGCTCGACAGAATAAGAGTTTAAGGAATTGGATTGTTAAATATTCTGAGTAATTGAATAATTTGGGATGTACTAGGTATGAACATTATACCTTTTAAAATTTTGGAGTATACTGGGAACCAGCAGTTAGCATAATGGCTACATCGCTGGACTCCCACGTAGTCGACCGCGGTTCGCGTCCCGGACCCGGTGGCTTAAAACTCACGCCGGGTGCGTGTGCGTGCGTGCCCAAGATCCCGAGAGGAGAATGGAGGAGAAGGGATTGCGGCGTGAACATCCCCTCTGGGAGGGGATTTCTCTTTTTCTGTCTCTATGTCTCTCTCTGTCTGTCTGGTGAGCGCATGCGCCCTATAGCAAAAACCTCTCCAAAAAAAAAAAAAAATTGGAGTATACTAAAATTAATCAAAGACTTAGGATTTCTTGAAGTGTTTTGTTTTTTAAATTTTATGAGAGATGAGACCAAGAGAGACAGAGAGAGAGAAAGAAAGCACCCCTCAATAGGGTGTCGTCACAGTCCTTTCTCTTCCCTTCATCTGTCCCATTGAGGTTTTGGGCACATACACACACACATGCACCAGGCATGTTTTTCAGGCTGCTGGGTCTGGGACTCGAAACATGTGGTTGGCTTTGTGGTATCCAGTTCACTTAACCAACAAGCCATGGACCAGCTCTCTTGATGTGTTTTGAAGTCATGCTTGTTTATGCTTATCTTTGTATATTAGACTGCATATTTTTAGGCTTTTTGATTCTGGAAAACTTTAAGGCATCTAAATTTTCATCCTGTAAGGGTCTCTTGAGGGTTTGTCAGACATTCCAAGATGAGATATTTTGTGAGGGTAGTTTTCATATTTATTTCTTTCTTGATAAGAATCTTAAGAGTTTTGTGTACTATTGCATTAAAATATCATTAGGTATGTGGTGAAAAGCCTGAGATTGCTGTGTAAGAGAGTGGAAAGAAGTTTCTTATTACCTAATATTTGAAGTATGAAGTCTCAAGGTTGTTGATTGATAGACTGATACTAGGACAGAAGAGTTTATAAAGAAGCTTTTTAAAAAGGCAGTGTACTGTGGAGGAGAAAGAGCAGCAGATTTTAAGGTAGTGAAACAAATAGCTAATGACTGGTCCAGAATGGTTCCTAAGATTAGTATGCTCAGTAGGGTGTATGGGATGCTTGATCAAGTCCAGAAGTGCTAGCTGGCCTCTTATGGGGACAATTGTAGTGAAACAGCCTGAAGTTTTAGATTTGGCTCTCTGTGGAGCAAAAACAATTGTCTTTTCAACTTTGTAGTAGAAACCTTAGAATTTGTAATCTTAACTGTAGATATTTCAGTGGATATGAAATAGGCATTGGCCTGCCATCTAAAACTGAAGGAAAAGATTGGCCAGAGGAGTATTCGTTTCTTTTTAAAAAGAGAAAAAAAAGATTTCTCAACCAGTTTAGTTTCTCAACCAGTCTAGAATTATGCTGGGAGAATGCTTAGAATTGCTTTTAGTACTTGAATGAAGCACGTACTGATTTCCCATTAAGATTAGAGCCATTGGTCAGGTGGTATGGTGGTTGAGACGCTGGACTTCCCATGTGTCTGACTGCAGTTTGAGTCCTGGACCTGGCTCTGCTTGTCTCATTCTCTCTGTTCAAATTAAAGAAAAAAAATATTAGGGTCACTAGTGATCGTGGTTAGACAACATGGAACTAACATGACTGCCCAGTTTATAGGGGTTGTCTGTGATTATGTAGAGAAATTTAAATTAATTTATTACCAGTAGTGATACTCATTTTCTTTCCTTTTTAAAAAATATTATTCATTTAATTTTATTTATCATTATTTTAATTTTACCAGACAGAGACAGAGAAAGAAAGGGAAAGTGAGAAAGCAAGCTGCCAGGTCTGCGACCTCAACTATGGTCGGCTATGTGGGAGTCCAGCATCCCAACCATCACGCCACCTGATGGCTCCGATGGTCATTTTCTTAACCTCTGCTCTCCTCTCAAAATAGGGGGAGGGAATTTAAATACCTACTGCTTCCTTCTTTTTCCTTTTGATGTGATTTTTTATATGTTTTTAAAGTTTATTTTATTCATGATAGAGAGTGTGTACACACACACACACACACACACTCACACACACACACAAATCCTTGAAAGGGTCTTGTCATGTTTCAGTTCCCTTTCCCCAGTACTCCAGCTCTTCAAGATCTTGGGGATAAGTATACATACTCCCAGCATGTTTTTAGATTGACTGGGAGATCCAAACTTGCAGTTGACCACATTGTATCAGCACTGCAGTCTGTCAGGCTTTGCCACTAGGCTGGGCCTTTTTTTTTAATTTGCTGAGAGACAGAGAGACAGACACATGTGTTATGGACATCCCATGGGTCATGGTCATGCTGCAGTCTCTTCTCCATTTTTTCTTCCTTTTGAGATTTTGAGCACTCATGTACACATGACTGGTGTGGTTTTCAAGCTGCCAGTTCCAAGACTTGAACTGCACAGTCAGCCGCGTGAGATCTAGCTCTCTAACCACCAGGCCATGGGCTGGTCACCCTCTCCCCTCTTTTTGGGATTTTAGGCATATACTCACATGCCTGCCATATTTCTCAGACTGCCAGGTCTAAGAATCAAATTGATAGTCAGCCAGTGAGATCCAGCTGCCTTAGCCACCATGCTAGTAAAATCTTTTGATTGACTTAACAGTTTAGTATGTAACCTGTCATGTAAAATTCTCATCTTCTAAGGTTTATGTTAATAGAAAATATTTGCTTAATTAACTAATATAAAATTTTTATATACCTATTTTATCTTTTAAAATTTTCATTTCTTTGATGAGAGAGGATATGTGAGAGTACATGTGTTCACATGTGCAAGAGAGAGACACAGGCACACTTGACAGTATTTCATCACACTGTAGCCCCTTTCTCCAGCCTTCTAGGTACTTAGGATCTTGGACATATGTGCACCCACCCAGTGTGTTTCATTGACTTCCAGCACTGCGGATCAGTATGCTACTGCCTGTGTCACTGAGGCTGAGCCATATATACCTGCTTTATTGATAGAGATGCTCAAGGTTTTAAATGATATAGAATGTGTAGAGTTACACTTTTAAATAAGTGGAAACCATCCTGTGTGCAGGGATTTGAAGACTTTAAAGTTATTGCG